GAGGGACAGGCCGCATGCCATTAGCCTCCGTCTCGCAGAAAGCCAGCCGAAGGCCTCTTCCGGAGGTGGCGGGAGGCAGGCTGAAGGGAAAGGCCTGGGGACCCGGCGGGAGGCTGTGGCTGGGAAGGGTTTGAGGAAAGAACCCGATGAGTAACTGGGGGCGGGAGGTTCGCGGGCGAGGTGCGGCCCGCCGAGGTTCCTGTGAGGCTCACGACAGTGGTTTCGCTCAGAAGTCTCGTTCCCCACGCCAGCCCGCCCAGCGCACCTCGCCGGGCCGAGTCAGCTTGTGTCAAGATGGGCGGACAATCGCCGGCTGGCTGCCTGCGGCCTTCTCGCAGGTGCCTGGCCAGTTCGAGGGCTCCTTGAGGGCAGCAGAGGAGCGCAGCTCTCACTGGACTCCGGGTGTGTCCCTCCTGCAAACCCGTTGCTTGAGGCCCTGATGGTGTCCTGAGGAAGGTCGTTCAGCAATCGAACATGGGGGGAGGGGGTGCGGCGATGAGGCGACAGCAGCCCTTGCCAGGACGCGGAGAGAGATTGACAGCGCGGGAGAGGCCAGCTGGAGACACTGGACCGCCCCGCGGGGTGGCAGGTGCCTTCAAGGGACATGCGGGCCGGGGACCGTCTTCGGCGCTGGGTGGGACAAGCTGGGCCCTGCCAGGCCCCTGGCCTCAGCTTACGGCCCCTGGAGAGCCGCGCGCTCTGCACAGCGAGCCTGGCCCGCCTTCGGTGCGGGCGTTGGGGCGTGGATACGCACCCGGGAAGCCTGGGCCAGCGGGGCGCCCCGAAGTGGCGGTTGGGTCCCCGGGGCCCGGAGCGGCGGGACCTGGCCGCTGCGGAGCCTGAGCCCTGCCCTCTGCAGCCGCGCGGTAATTGGATTGTATCCGCCTGCGCGCTGTCACCGTATTGACTTTCGCTCTCTTGGATGATATTATCGAGATTCGGAAGCTCGCCGCTGATGTGCCTGTCAAAAGGCTGCGGCCGAGCCCCCGGCCTGGCGAGCGAGCATCAGCCAAGATAATTTGAAGTGAAATTTTCATTTTGACAGTAAACCCCTCAATTTCTAAAGGCTCCGCGCTCCGAGAGCTCACTGGCAGGGGGAGGCTTTGCAGAAAGCCCATGTCTTAGACTGAAAAGGGCAAAAGAACTCGAATTAGTTGTAATAGATAAAAGGGCAAAAATAAAGAGTCAAGGGTACTTGACAGTAATAGCGAAAGTGGAGTCTCGGGGGAGACGCGCTGCGGCCTAGGCTGGGGCGCCCGGAATGTTAATGCTTCAGAGGGCGGCCGCCCAGCGCCCCCACCCCAGCCAGAGACAAAGCTGGGTATTTTCGCAACAATCAGCTCTCGCGGATGCAGGCGGCGCGTGTTGGAGATGGGGGGCATGCGACAGGAAAGTGAGGCTTGGACCTCGGTCTGTCCTCTTTCCGCAGACAGCCGTGAGCCCAAAGGGCGCGGACCGGACCGGTGGCCCTGGTCGGCGAGGCGGCGAGGGGCCGCTCTGGCCGCGGTTCCCGGCCCCCTTCCCTGGGCCGGCCCAGGGCCCAGAGAGCTCCTGCTGCCCACCAAGCCTATTTCCCTTGGGGCCCCAGGCTCAGGCACTATCCCTGACGCGACCCCGCCTCTCCTCGCTGCCAAGGCCGTTGGAATCACAGGTTGCAGGAGACGGATGTTGGTGAAATTGGCCAATGAAAGTAGCTTATTTGAATAAACTCCGATAATGTGTGAAATAAAGACATCCAGTGAGTGTGTTTGTGTATGTGTGGTAGGGGGCGATTCAGCCACATTCCAGGGGCAATGCGCCAAAAAGGAAGCCTCTGAAACAGGGCTGTCATTTCCACCCACGCTTTACCTTTGACGGGCACACTCGGGAAGGTTCGCTTTCAGCACCTTTACCCACTCTAGTCTTTCTTCGTGGGGGTCAGGAGCTAGGGTGAGCCCCGCAGTGGGGGGTGGGGGGCACAGATCGTTCCAAAGGACCGAGGAAATCATTTTAGGTGTCTGATTCGACGCCGCGGGGAAAGAGCCTTGTCCGTGGGCGCGGACGTGGAAGGGACCGGCCAGGAAGCTTCACTCCTGGAAGCTTGTCAGAGGAGGAGCTGGGAAGACGCGAGAAAGGCAGGGCTGGAGCCCAGCTCTCAGCCACTCAGCCGTGGCAAATTCAAACACACAAAGGAGGGGGTGCTAAATTAACGGCGCTTTTTACATAGAGCCCAAATAAAACTGTAATCAGCGGCGCGTTACTTTTCATTAAGCGAGTCTGACAGCGGCATATTCAGACTCGACAAGGGAACAGGAGCGCGAAATATACGGCTCTCCCGGCCGGCCTCAGTCGCAGATAATTCCTTAAGCTCCATTAACAACTCTTAGCCGCAGGAAATGCGCTCCCAGAAAACGTCTCCAAATCTAAAAGCTTTATCGACCCCTCCAACCGCAGCTGATGGTTTCATTTTTTTTCTTTTTTTAACTTAAGGGAGAGACGTCTAGCAAGGTAATAGACTTTGACACGACACCTTCTTAACTAGAGAGAGAGGCAGGAGAAGCCAGCCCTTAAATGATATTTAAAAGGCAACCAATTAAGATTTAAAGCGGTCCTCTCCTGAGATCTATGCGCGCGATTTCCGCCACCTCCTTTTTCCTGGGTATGCCTGCAGAACAGTCCGGCTGTAACGGCCCACTTCTCTCTCTCTCTCTGAAGATTAACAAAGAGAATGACAGATGAGAGAGAAGCAATGAAGTCTTTCAATACTCCATTCATTCTCAATGGAAGAATCCTTCAGGTTGGCTGTTGGGATGGGCAAGCATTGTCTCCTACAGCAGATAAGCAGCTGGTTAAAGAGAAACCGAGGTCCGATGCTCCCCAGGGCCATCTAGCTGGCTTCAGTGCCCCAGCAGTGGGCGGCCTCTCTGGTGGGGTGCAGCAGCCTAGGCTGTAGGTGCTGGTTGAGCAAGGGGTGATGGTTAATACCAGAGGAGAGGCTTCCCCCTGATGCAGTCGAGGCAGAGGAATGTCCCCACGTACCTTCTTTTCCCTCTCAGCTCATCTCCGTGGAAGTGCCAGGAGAACTCCATCTTCTTAGGGAAGCTCTGGGATCAGCCTTTTCTCACGTACATACTAATCACCTGCCTCACAGCAATGCTGGCCAGCACATCTGTTGGCACTGGTGCCACTAAGTTGAAGAAACTGGAAAGCCACTTACCCAGGGTCACATGGAGGGCAGTGGGATTGTACAAGTCCCAAGAAAGGATGCTCATAGCCCTTTGATTTGACCCCTTTGGAAGGCCCTGTTGGAAGGGACCCTAAACAATGGGGCATCGGTGGGGAGGAAGGGTGGGGGAGAGGGAAGAACGGAAAGTGAAGGAGGGGAGAGGAAAGGGAAGGGGAGGGAGGAGGAGGAGGAGAAGTGGGGAGGGAAGCGGGACCGCCTGCCACCCTTCTAGACATCTGCTTTATGAAGAACTACTTTTGAAGAAAATCCCTCCTGCCCAAGAGGACTCTGACATTTGGGGTGAGGGTCTGGGGTTCCGCCTGAAGTCCTGGGACAGGACAGGCCCAGTGTATATTTACTCCCGAGGGGACCCTGGGCAGGCAGCTTGCACCAGTGTTCCACTGGGGAAGGATGGGTTCTCAAGAGTATCAGTTATACGCACTTTGGAAGTTGAAAAGTAGGAGCCCCATCTCACCAACCCAAGCCCCAGGTGGCTGTTGTCCCTTCTGCAATATCTCAAAAACCTGGAGTGGAGTACAGGGAGCAAGCGGATGCTCAGTCATAGTTTGATGACTTAAACTGAACCCACCTATATGTAGGAAGGCACCCACTGCTCAAATCCAGAATCAGAAAACGGAGGCAGCAGTGCAGAGCATCCTATCCAACTTCGGCATCTGTTTCAGTAGTATG